GTTGCGTTCGTTACCCCCACCGAGTTTCCACAAATCCTATGGTAAGTCTCCCTTACTACTTATAGTATGTCGTTCATTTGCATGCTAGTACAGCGAACGAGTCCGAGAAAACGGTTCTGTATCACGAAAGCACAGTGAACGGAGCATCCATTCATTTGCTTGCGGGTAAAATCATGCGGGTAAAATCATTTGTTGAGGGTTTGTTACTAATTAGACTGACAGTAAAAATTTTTGCAATCACGGTAACAAATAAAAATTAGCGGTTGCAGATAATAAAAGTACCTTCGTAAACTTTGTTGCATATCTTCAAAAATTGCCGCTTTCGTACAAGACTAAAAAGGATCTTGTGATCCATCCATCCTTTTAAACAAGCGGGGTCAATGCATTCATTCACTTTCCTGGTTCTTCTGACAAACTTTGGCTGGCATCCTACCAGGGCTTAAACCGTTTGAAGAAGCCGACAGTTTTTTCTACTAATGATTGTTCTCTTGGAGGAGGCGCAGGAAGACCATGAAGTCCAGGGCAATTTTGCTCAGTGCTGTTTTCTTCAAAACCGGCTGCCGGAGAGTTGTTTTTCGGCAAACTCTGTGTTTGAACACGACTCTTCATTGTCGGCATATAATTTCGCTCGAGGTGCAGTGCAGCATGGTTGGTACCTTTTTCTTTCTGCTCCATGAAAGCGCGAAATGCTTCCCCATTAATGTTAAGGTGATACAAACTCTGCACGAGTTCACAAATTTTTTCCGGGGTTAAATTGCTATCTTCTGCGTCCTTGTTGGCATTCAAATTCTCTTCCAGAACCTTTCGTTCTTGTACATATGCCTCTCGCATAGCTTTGTAACCGTCCAACCGTGTCCGAGAGCCACCGACAGCTACGCTGTCTTCTTCCAACCTAATATGGTGATCGAGATACTGCTCCATGCTGTCGTTATAAGGTGTAATGGCATTCTTTTTCAAGAAAATTGCGAATTTCGAACACACATTGGTAATAGTAAGCCTTTCGTTCTCCAGCTCCGTTAACCTTTTTTGTGAAATTGCAATTATTTTCCGTTTTGCGCCTACCTCACCGCCTTTGGTTTTAAGCTCCTTCTCGACATTAGTATCTTTGATTTTTTTCGTCTTCTCGATCTGTTTGTAGGTGATATGCAGATGATCATCCCACCTGCAGCCACAGACGCGACATGACATCCCGTTATCCAGCTGCATTGCATAACATTTCTGCAGCTCTGGGTTCGGGTATCTTTCAGGGACAATGTCATTTAGACGGCATACTTCGTGGCAGATGCTAGTGTAGTGTACAACTGAACCCTTAACCTTGCAACATTTCTCACTTCTGCATACGGTCATTGGATAAGGAATTTCTTCAGGTACCAAAATAATAGTAGGAACATACAGTTTTTTTTTCCATTCGCCACTCGATTGTTCTAATACCTCAAGCTCTTCCATATGGGATTTTACAGCCCTCATGTTGCTCTGGATATTGCGTGCTATTTCGGCCATAGGTTCAACCAGCAGCAGTATCAGTCGCCTAGCTTCATTTAGGGAGATAGTGGTTTGTGTGCTATGCGGTTCCAAGCCGGCAATGTATGCTATCAATCTGTTTGTTTCATCCACCGATTTCTGCCAACTAAGTAAAAAGTTGTCAAACTCCACCGGTGAAAAGTGAATACCGCAGCGCACCGCCGCTAGAAATCGGATCGGCTCATTGTCCATGCAATACATCGTGCTGTTATCCAAAGTTATGGTGACATCATTGCTCTTTTTAAGTTCTAGCAGTCTCTCCTTCAAGGCAGGATAGGTGTCTCCAGGCCTGTAGAAAGTGCTCCGGCAGTTCGTGAACACGAAGATTATGTTACGGCATGCGTCTTTATGCAGATGTGTTAGCAGTTCGCTGATGCAAAACCTGAATAAGATCGTTAAGCGGGCGCTATTGGGCTTCAAGAGGATGCAGATGCCATGAATTTCTTTGAAACGCGAGATGTGCTTCAAAACGGCTTGGAAATTAGCTTTGTCCACGTCAACCCCTCTGGTATCGCCGACTCCAGGAGTATCAATCAACCGGATCAACAATTTCTTTCCGGGGAACGTGTAAGAGCGTGGTTCTTGTGTAGCCGATTCACCGGCTTTCAAGACCTCGCCCTGACGTGCTGATTGTTTTGGCTCACCCAGACTGACTACAACTTCTTGACAGTTCTCATCAAGCATCGTGAACTGCGACGGAATTAAATTAACAGGTATTCCTTCGCGCGCTTCAGCGAGAGTGGAGAACTGCACATAGTTGGCAAAACCGTTTATCCATGTAGACTTCCCCACTCCAGTTTCGCCTACAATAATATCAGTCGGTTATTAACTGCATCATTTGCGTGTTACGGCATATCCTATTCAGAGTATATAAAACTACAGTATACTTCATTGATCTACATATGCTAGTAGTTAGTCTACGGTAGTACCGTTTATTCTTCTGCTGTATTTCCGAAAGCTTGTTGCTCTAATACTTCTCTACCCATACGAGTAGTTAAATGAAACGCTGTTAAAGATGAACTACAGTAAATCAAGGCTTCGAACCTTGTCGTCTGTGTAATCGTCTTCATGTCCGGACGGCAGCAGCTATAGCTCTGCCATTACTAGCTCAATAATTTTTAGAAATTTTGTTGTAAGATACTTCTGAAACGGCTTGGTGCTGTGACTTACCCAGTATCAAAATATTTAGTTGCTTGACAGGAGAAAGTTGGCTGAGTTGAGCGCTCAGATCTTTTGCCGAATACGCCTGGTATTTTGGTCCATGAAGTGGGTCGCTGCACAGATACTCAAAGGAGTTTGCGGGCGCTTTTCCACAGGAGCAATAGAAGAAGTTGTCAAAGCCATACTCAAGAGCTTCCTTACATTGTGGGCAGTGCCAAGAGCAGTGGCCACGATTGCACCTAAACGAAGCTTCGGTGAACGATGCCGGACAGGGCAGTTCCACAATGCACCGTTCGCTAGGCCGGGATGAGGCATGGTACGCAGTCGATTTCGCAACAGGTGCTGCCATTGTGACATTTCCTTGTTTCAGAACATCGCTAGAGGTGCATTTGCCGTGTGAATAGTACGCTATGGTAATGTTATCGAATCCGGGGTTTTTCGCTCGGTGGCAATCGGCCACCGCATAAGCGTATTTCATTTCATTTTCTTTGGGAAGGGCAGCAATCGCCAGGAACTTTTCCCAGTTATTTTTCCAAGTTTCTGGTTTTGCTGTGGCTTCTTCGGAATTTAAGAATAAAATGTAAATTCCGTCGGCATCGCTGATTTTAACAAAATTGCTCACATCACTTTGTTCATCTAGAAATGGAATGTTGAGATCGCGTAGTTTGACCAGTATGGTGGCTGTATGGGCAAGCTTGTGGAAGGTGTTCTTGAATTTTTGAAAATCACTTAAACAGAATGGAGCTCCGTTAACCTCAACTGCGCCGTATTCCCATAATTGGCGGCAAGAATCCAGATAATCTAAATCAGCCTCATTTTTATACAGCAACGTTAACCGTTCTTGAAAGGCTTTCTTGCAGACGGTTTCGGCATATCCTAACCGATCTCTTCGTTTCAAGACGTCGTTGTATGTGGTGTAGGGGACAAACTTTTTGTTTTCCTCGGCGGTGCGCAAAGCATCGCTAAAGAACAACCGCAGAGAGGCAAACTGGCGCAGCACAGGAGTTATTATGTCCAAAATTTCAGCTGCATCTATCTTGGCAGGGAGCACTGTCGGGACTGATTGCCTAAACAGATGGCAGGGAGCTAAAAGAATCTTGAAAGCCACGTCACTGGATTCTTGTTTCTCTCGTATCAAGATATCAGCACAAGATTTCAGGTCTTTTAGCTTTTATTTGCAATGGCATCCGTTGATATCTACAATAATGCTGAATCATGAATATTAAATGGAGGCTTATCACCCGCCCGGTACATGTGACGGGCGGATGATTGCGCTGAAAGCAGTTCTGCTTTTTATAGTGTTAAAGAGGACGGCCTAAGTACGGCTGTCCTTTGGAATCTCAACGAATGGTATTGAGATGAACCCTTACGAGCAGTTGATACCTGATGAAAAATGGCACTAGGGTGCAATCAAATCACTCGTATGTGAGCCACTGTAACAGCAATATTGGCTTAGATCAGGACATTTTTGCTTGAGTTTGAGCCAACCAGGTAGGCACGCGCTCGGGGCAGTTGGTATGAGCACAGGACTGGTCGGTCCTGTTAAAGGTTACTTATGCTAAAACTGATTACTGCACCGTCGTGATGGCGATACTAAACAAAATTTTACTTAACCCATTCAGTACACACAAGTTGGCGGTGCTTTTGCGGCTCCTTTGACATTAACAGTACTTACTCCTTGACATTAACAGACGCTGCTGTATTGGTGCAGCTTGGTGTCCTTTCTGAGGCAATTTACTCCCTCTTTACATGGTTGGAAAACAGAAAAGACTCATTAAAAGGCTCATAAAGAAAAAGACTCATAGAGACTCAGACTTAAAGACTCAAGCAAACTTAAAAGTTAAATTTGCGACAGGTCTCCCAAGGAAAGCGCTTGTCATTATAACCGCTAGAACGCGCACTTGGGCACCGTCAGAACCGTTCGAGGAACAGTGCGGGCTTACAGCCTTTCATGCGTCAGGGGTAAATTATCGTAGGGATTTGTCTTTAGATTATCGTAGGGATTTGTATCTCTTATACAGTGTTATCGGTGTGTTTCTAACTTTTAACGGGTATGTTGCACAGTCCGCTCTCACCTGGGTACTTCCGTTACACAGCAAGGACTTCCTTAGAGCCTTATCCGGCATGGTAAGCAGCATGTCAACAAGAGAGCTCATGTCGGTTTCCGCTTGTGAGCTGTCCTCCGGTAATGAATCAAAAGTACACGCAACTGTTTTTGCCCGTAAAATTCCCACAACCACATGAGACGGGGAAAAATTCGGGTTTCCGCGATGTGTGTCTATGGTTATCCCAACCGGTACTTCCGCGGCTTCGATTTCCGCTAAAGTAACGCTGATAGCGTCTCGCGTTTCTGTAGCGGTGCTTCTGCGATCCGACAGTGACAGCTTCCAAGGATGATTGAGCTGTTGCAAGCCAACAAGGATGTTGATTTGTTGTTCAGCAGAGCATGGTGTAACAAGCTCGCTTCCCATTTTTAACAGCTTTTCATGTAAGGTCATGTTCTTAAATACTCGACAGAAACTGTGCTTGTGGCGTTGTCGATTTGTCGACTGAGCAAATAATTGGCGCATTTGGGATGTTCCGGGAATGATGGCATCAGTACGAATATCGTAAAGGTCACCGAGAATGACAGGCCTTCCAAACGAGTATCGCCAAAGACATCCTTCAACACCATCCTCCTCCAGTTTCGCTGTAATAAAAAATCGTATTCTTCGGAAGTCGCTCAAATAGTGTCACGGTACTACATTGTATTTCATTCTGTTGGCATAGTACACTTTGTCTGTTGCTCTTGAATAACTGATTGAATTTAATTATTAATTCCGAAATAGTATCAAATGTCAGGCTCTGGGAATGCCGAAATTTTTGAATACTCTGGCCATGTTTGCTGACAAATTAGGTAGTTTACTGATCCACAAGTGAAACGATGCATCTACGTCATACCGTTTAACAGAACAGTGTACAATGTACACCGATGGCGAATGTGTACGAACAGCAGCAAACGCTTCCAGTTTACTTGACTTACTGGAAAATTTAAGGGTGCGCGGGCTCGCGAAGTCCTGCTCTTCTTTGGACTGCTGCTGTCCTTTCGGGGTGCCTGCCACAGAAAACATTATCCGAATCTGTATCTCCTTTTGAGTGCAGTACAAAACCAAGAACATTTTATCAAGGAAGACTTAAGGATAAATGTCACAACAGTTTCCGGCAAATTCATCTTGGAAGTAACAAATTTTAAATGATTTTAATCATTAGCTAACTTAGCTTGGACCTTTGAGAGGCATTTAAGATCAAATATTTTATTTCAAGGACTTTGAGAGGCACTATCCAACAACAACCAGTTGCTGTTTTATCAGATTTTTTTAAATTTGACCCCGATTTCACTCACTTGGCTGAGCATCAGCCTTAAAATCGGCAACGAGTAAGTCATCAGTTGCGTCTGTATCCAAAGAGTTGCGCATTTCGCCTTCGAGTGCGGTGGTTTGCGATGCTTTTGCTGTTTCATGGATTATAGCGCTTTGCTTCGGCATGCAGTTTTTGTTATCCCCGACGTCTTTGCACCCCACTAATTACAAAGCGTGCGTATTATAATATCGCATATTTCTAATCTACTTTGCACTTTTAGTTTCTTCCTACGATGGTGACTACAGTATCACTTATTTCAGGAAATTCTCACTTCGCTTTATGAAATTAAAGAGATGGACTTACTCTTACGGTAATTAAAGGAGTAACATTTACTGTTTACGCTCATAAAGAAGCAAAGGATATGCTTATCAAGATGCCGCAGTTTAAATAATATTTTATTCTATATATTAGCATCAGTTTGGACGGTTCATATAATGGGCGGCTGTGGTAAAATCTTGGACGACAGAAATAAAAATATGTTGTAAAGATAAGTAAATGATACATTATGCAAGGAAGTACTGTACAAAACCGTAATAAAAAAAGATTCCGTTGACATAATCAAGTAGCTATTTAGTGCTCACCCTCGTTTCCAGTTGTTGATGCTCTGTCCTGAATGGTCACTTCGCATACGGCAAGCTCCGGTGCAAATATCGATTCTAACAAGGGTGAACTTTGGGGCTCTACGTCCGAGGGCGCGTTGTTTTCTAAGAAATAATGAAGACGGGTGAGACACTTCGCAGAGTTCACGGACGCGAAGGAAGTTGCGCGCTGATACCGCTTTCATTTTCGGAATCGGTGATTTCAATAGAACCGAGCTCCTCTTCATCTGTCATGACTGCTGAAGGTTATGCTGTTAGTGTAGGCGCCGATGAGGGACCTGACAATCGTAGAAAAGGCAAGGCTCAGCAAATGATAACCATGTATGACATGTGAAGCCGTTATATTGTATATCGAGCGCCCTGAATCTGAGCCTTACCCCTTTAATCGGTGTTTGTACAAACGAAAGAGGACAATACCATTATCGTTCACGTTTTTGAGATAAGAATTATACAAAAACCGGTTAACACACACGTTGACGCACCTGTAACTGTTTGAAAGAAGAGATAGCGCTACCAACAACCAAGCCTCTGCCTTATCAAACATGACTCGGATGGGCATGGTGGCGATAAGGCTTCTTATTCAAAAAGACAAAGACGCCATTAGGACATGGTCTGCGAATCACATAGCGGTAATCCAAACAAAAGCCAGCTCAACGCCGTCGGCGATTTAGGAACGTCCAATTGCGTCCTAATTCACTGCGATCAAGCCATCATTGCCGTGTGATAGATGATTGTGAGTACAGAAGGATCCTGTGGGATAAAATCATAGAACGACTTTAGCACTCAAACAGGATTTCTGGTTTGACCAGTGACTTTCGTTTCCGCAATCCACACACTACCTAATGTAACGATTTGTTGCTCCAGAAACTAAACACCCCGTTTCCACTTTTCTTTTCAGAAAACGCTGTGCCGGACATAGGCGTCGTTGCAACGAAGGGATTGCGCCCTTTGGACTTCAGACAACCCCGTGAACGACGGTAGAAACGTTGTAGAACAAAAAAATTCAAAAAGCTGTAAAAGCAATTTTAGTAATCAAGCAAAAACGTAACTGAAACGATAAACATACCACAGTGGACAGTAAAATTTACAAGTACTAGGAAAAATACCGTAGATCGCATGATGAGGTAATTAGGGGATTCTATTTGAATAGTTTATGTGCTCTTGTTTAAGAGATACGGTTTGAGTTCATTTCACCGTAAACTCCGCGCATGGCCGATCTTTCGCTATTCGAACTACCATAATCCCCGTCGATGTAAGTAAGTCCGACTAATGAAGTTCGACTTTACACAGGCCACAGGCTTTCCTTTTTAGTCAAAATGCACTCGAAAATGAAATTTCCTTATGTTTATCGTGCGCTGGTGACCCAGGAAAAATATCAGACATAGGAACGGCGTAACGAAACAAAATTAATAAATAAATAATAACGTAGTTTTTGCCATACAGAGAACTATAATTAACAAAAAAATTTCATGTGCAAAAGTTAAGACGACAGGCTAGAAAATCCATTTTGTACGAGTAGCTGCGATTTGCGTATATACATGTATATACGGTATTGTAACAGTACGTGCTACATATGCTACATATTGTACTGCCAGTGTGTTTGCATTCTGGATTTTGTTTTTTCTCACTTTGTTCTCCCGAAACTGGTAACAAGCATTAAAGCTCATGCTGAATCATGGAATGGCTGGTGGAATAGTTATATGCGGGTGGAATATTTATTTTACTGAAAACGATGGGTTTTCCGGGTTCTGTTAAGAAAGCGCACTGCTGGAAGCGCACAAGCAGCCTTTGTATTGCTATAATTTTTTATAGTAAATGAATAAAAATTTCGTTTATGTGCACTGAAAATTAAACTTATTCTGCCAAAGCATAGATGCGTGGGATGGAAAATCCGGAACAGTAGTTAATATGATAAAATGAAATTTATGCGAAAATGCAATATAAAACCATTCACTCGAACAACTCGATTATACCCGCAGTCCAGTTTATAAAATTATTGAGTGTTTGGCGACGCCAGGATGACCTTTGCAGAGACTTATTTCTTTAGAGTCGTACACTCTTATTCGACATACGATGAGAATTTCTCGATTTACTTTTATTATATAAAAAGCCTGTGCAGCTCGTAGGTAATGCGATAGTGCATTGTAAAAGCATGTAGTATGGTTTACTTATTAATTTTGTTTGGCCCTGCCCTTTGAGTGTCAGCAGATGAAATTATTTTTTTAATTATGCTACGATGGTATACTATGTTTCTGCCAAAGATCAGATTTTTCTGAATTTGGACCCGGAAAATGGGCCCGGGTTAGATAACGCCATGATTGCCTTCAGCGATGCGAAATAATGCACCTGCATATTTGCACATTCAATGATTCCAGGTATTACGAGAATATGACAACCCTAGAATGCAGTTTTACGGTTTTACCGAAGAGACAATCACAATTAGCCAACAAAATTCTGCTCAGATTAAACCGGTACGAGCACTTGAATATTATCTCCCTATACAGAGATGTTGTTGATTCAGTTACTAATTGGCCGGCGAAACTGCTCGCTGTTTTAGATAATTATGTAAGAATTATGGTATACGAATATACGAGTATATACGAATATAAGGGGCGAAAGTAAACGCGTTCACCGTTCCCCTGTACTGCTGCCGTCACCCGCCTGGAGTGTGACGTTACGGCAATACATGTGGTTAAATCTGGCGCGGTACATAAGCGCCATGTTCAGCCACAACGTCAAACTCCAGCCGGGTGACGGCAGCAGTACAGGGGAACGGTGGAACACGTTTACTTTTGCCCCCTATATACGAATATACGAATAATTTATACGAGTATACGAATATCGTATCTTCTAGGAGCTGAGAGCTCGTTGCGAATGCATTTGCAATAATGCTGCATATATTATGTATTCAATACTCTCGAGTTGGGTAGCTTGTTTAGCGGTGCATATCTCTCGGGCGAGTCTCTCTTCTTCCACCTGACTTTCTGTTCGCTAATGGCTTTCCTGTCTCTGGGGATTTCCATCCCCACAATGTCATTGTCATGCCTTTTTGACGGATCTAGCTGCTCCGCAGCTTTTGGCTGCAGAACGCGCTTGTTTTTGTCTAGTAGCTCGTTGCAAATACGCTTTCACTATACAAATTCCACACTTGCGAGTTTGCCCGAATGTTTAACGGGTACATATCAGTCTACGAATCCGTACTTCAAAATAAATAGTGGTGTATTGGCCGACTGTCCCGACTCTTTAGGTAGCGCATGGCCCGTAAAAAAGTCGTGTCTCCGACGCCTAAGTATAAGCCATCGTGTGTAACCGTTTAATACGAGAATACCGAAGTATGATTAATTCAAAAATTTGTATTACAGTGAATCAAATCTTGGACGAAGCCAAGAAAAAGGGCATCAACGGGACTCTGCATTTACGAGGCTACGGCCGCGGTTCGAATTCAACGGAGCTTAGCAATGCGGAATCGCCGCCGCAGACGGGGTTCATCCAAGCGCCTGAAGGCGGCACACTGCTCATTCCTTGCAACAACACCCGCAACGCCACCAATACCAAGGTTCATGTAGGAGTCGGTAGGACATCCAGGTATTTAGGCTCAACATTGAGCGGTTGATTTCGGCAGAGGATAAAAGGTGGCAGTGGCACCTGCCACCGGCAGTGGCAGTTGCCATTATGCGTTCTGGCAAGCGAGAAAACGTGGAAACTGGCAATTGCTTAGATATGAGCATATAACTATACATTGTAAACCTAAGAAATATGTGAGTTGTTTAGAGAAATCGTTGCCACTGTCTTTCCAGTTCTTACTGAGGGCTGTAGTTTGAGTGCGGCGAAATGTCACACTCCCAGTTTTCCGGGTGCGCTTTTATTGAAATTGAAATTATTGAAATTCCGTCAGTCATAAAAATCATTTTTATGCTCCTGCACGTTAGAACTGTTAGTTTCGCAATTACTGAGGGTGCTCAGAAAATCTGTGCCTACAGATTGTTCTCCATCATGTCTCCAAATATGTATGACTAAATGCGATCAAAAACAAAACAGAGAAATGTGTGCGCTGTCAACTACGTCGGCTACGATACCGCAAGCACAACAACAAGGTGCTCCCAAACGTTAACAGTTCTGAGCACGAGCTGCTTGTTAGCTGTCTGGAAGAAACTCACTTGTTCTTTTTCCCGGGATTATTGTTTTCTTCTGGCTAGCTTGGGGCGGAGTTTAAACTTTGAATGCCCAACGCAGTGCGGCGGCCCGCCTCCAAGATCAGTGCGACTGTTTTGTTGTTTCTAAATCAGTTTAACCGCCGTCACATACAGTACATCCCATTAATAAGTTAACAATAAGCGTCCGATTTCTGCATTGCATTCGCCTCAACAGTGGCTCTAATTGAGCCGTTGGATCATTTGATTTTAAATATCCTTGATCACAATTTCTAGTGATTTAGGCAACTGTTCAATAATTGTAAAAGTTATTTTAAGACGTATGCTGCATGTATCGGCAACTTCATGTGCGAGAGGCAATCCGCTGTTGTGCACTGGAGCAAAAAGCACTCAGCGCAGCACAAAACGACATCGTTGGGTTCTCGTGTAGTTTATTAAACATATTTGGTGCAAGCCGTGTTTATCTGGAAGTACTAGAAGAGTTAATCATCCCGTTCTGGATTAGTTTCTTCCCGATTCGTGTAGATCGCCTTTGCTTCAATGCATTAACATTGGGCGGCAAGGTTTTGTGATACCCTGCGTGACTGCGTCCACATTTACCCTTGAGGCACCGTTCTGGCGGATGATGCATTGAAGGGGTGTTTCTGTGTCACTTGGGATCTATAAGCGTTCCTGCGCTCACTGCAGCAGGAGGCGTATGCACTGGTCTCACTATGTCAGGCTTAAGTAGCAAGAAGCCAGCCGTATAAAAAACAATCGCGACATACTTCTGAATTTTTTCGATATTTTATATAAAGACATGTATCGTTGAATAGCAGTGGCATCACATTTCACGATCCGGCAGTTGCTACGCTTTATCGCTTGCCAGAACGCGTAGTGGCAACTGCCACTGCCTGTGGCAGCTGCCAGTGGCAGGTGCCACCGCCACCTTTCATCCCCTGCCGTTGATTTCTCATTTTCCGCCTTCTTCCTGCCTTCGTGCCGCCGCTCACGATAACTTTCTATTAATCTTCCGATTACTGTTCTTCCAAAGTATTAATTTCCAAATAGTCGTTGTATTAACTGTAGGCAGTTCGCACAGATATCTCACGTCAAGATTCCACCGACGTTTACCTACAACGGATACCACTTTCCTGTCACAGCAGGCGACGAAGTCACAATACGGTACCAGGAAGTAAGTTGCTGCAAATGTACAAAGAAGTACGCTACTGCGGAACCCAAAGTGTTGGCCCAGTTTTCCCAGCCCAGTTTCGACCAAATAACCGGTGCATTTGCCATCACATTACCGAACTTCTCGTACGCCTATACCGGTCTGTACGAGTGCCTGCACTCCAACGGCAGCCAGCGGGTGGTGACGCAGCGCTACTGGGTTACCGCGACTCTTTTCCGCCACGAGGTCTTTAATCCACCCATGCAGAACGTCACCGTCCGTTACGGCGACCCAGCGGAAATGGTCTGCGCCGTGCGCTTCAACTTCTTGCCCGGATACCTCAAAAACCGCTTCCTCTGGCGCAAGCAACGCTACGTGCTGATGGCCAAGTCCATCCCGGAGGTGGCCGAGAAGGCCTGTGGGTGGTGGGGGTTCAAGGGCGTCTTCCATCATGGCGTGGATGAGCAGTGTCGGTGCAATTCGACGATGAAGATTGCCAGCGCCACCTGGAAGCATGCTGGTCCCTACGAATGCTGGTTCCGCGTCAACGATGGCCTCGACGAGTGGATTGTGCAGGAAGCCTATCTGCACGTTATTTAAACTTTAACAAGTGTCATCATTTAACCAGCAGTTCGGCAACTGCACTTATAATACTTCCTACTTCCCTCTTTATGCTTGCTAATTTATTTTTTAGTTGAAATAGTCAGGAATTCGAAGTGAAGTTGTACTTTCCTTTTCCTTTTTGCTAAAGTTTTATTTTTTTTACTCTACAGTTAGGTTTTTTTGGTTTTTTGCATAACTTAGTAACGTCGGGATGTCGTAAGATACCTTTACGATACATGCTTTTGCTTGTTTTCTTGTTTGGAATGGAATATTGGAGCTAGTTCAGTCGGTAAGGAACTTGTATTTCGTCGCAGAACTCGATCTAGTGTTTAAAAAGTCACAATTTGATTAAGGATCGTCCTTGTATTACTTGTGGTACACAGTCAGTTTAGTTATGGTTGTAGATATTTTTTTGGATCAAAGTATCAAACCAAGCTTGCATGTGGATGGGAGAGACTTGCTGTAGAAAGGCATTCGGATTAAGCAAATTTGCCTTTGTGAAAAGCCATATACGAGAGCGGCTCGGCCAGGTTGCATTGCAGAGTTTGTAAAGAAGTACGGGAAGCCAGCACCTGCAGCATGTGCACTGCTCGTGCTTGGGCACCCACACGCTCCCGTGGGCTCTTTTCCCGCACACCTTGGTCGAACCGCTACAATGACACTGCCTAAGAAGTTGTACTGATTCCAGCATGGTATCGCTGCATGAGGTACTCTGCAAATCAAAATACAAACTTGTAGTGTATGTAAGTACTCGTACAAAGGTTGTACGAGTAACTCGTGAATCTGGAATGATGCCCTACGGATAATGGCAACGGGATAGTAATGTCCAGTGTTTTTGTTGTGTTTAGAGTTTGTTGGTTGTTTGCTGCTGTCACATTTTTCGCCGTTCCACCGTAATGTGCAGCGTACATGAGTACGGAGTCTGCAGTAGTGCTGCCGGTCGGAAACGAAATCTCTGACACTGTCAGTGTCTACAAGAATCTACAGACTGTCTACAGGCGACTACTGTGACTACAAGAAGAAAAAAATGATCCAGTCTTTTTCTTTGATACCGAACCTGCCACAGATGTTTCGTTCAACAGAATACTGAAATGGCCCAACCCTTGGTGTGGAAAGTGGATGAGTTTGTACTTTTCCGCATCCTTCTTTCGTAAATCACGCACGCGCTTACTAGAGTAGGTCCCTTTTTTTGCAGTAGCCAATAATATATTATATGGGATATGGTACGATGTGTGTACAGAATGTCATCCTGTGTGAGCGTGTGCCTAGTTACGACCACTGATGTATGTGTGCTTCCTGGATTGTACTGTGTTTTACAGATTTAAAGGAGCGCTCCACGGGCCGGGCCTCACACGGTTGTCGGCCCTTTGTAATCAAAGCAACCAACGATTCGTATGCGGTGGCCACCGCTCCTCCTTTTCCTTAAAACTTGTGAAAATAGTTCAAAATACAGGACAATTAGCTGCTCTATTGATTGTCGGTGAGGTACGAGGAGGAGCTACCTTGGCCCGATCAAAGGCATGTGCAAGACCATAACCGATCACTGTTTCCAAGTGAGTGCAGCACGGCTAACCGGGTATTGCTAAAGTCTGTGACTGTGACTGGGTGGGACTGGGTGGGAGTGGGAGTTTATGTGACTGGGAGCTTCTGTGACTGTGACCGTCTGTGACTGTGCTAGACTGGGCCTGGGAACGATTGGGACTGTGACCATCTGGGACTGGGAACAGTGTTCGCTGCTTAACACCAAATCGACAGAAAACGCACTTCCGGTCAATTTAAGCGTAAGTTTGCACATGATATTTTTTAAGCATTTCGCATTTCTCCCCTTCTCTTTTGCAAAAAATTAAGCTTCATATTACGTAAACAGCCTGTACAAGTACTGCAGTGTGCATTGTGATAGTATGTTACTGTATTATTGATTTAATTTAAATTTTTTTGGCAACGCCCTTTGAGCCGCAATCATAAGAAATTATTTTTTTAATTGTACTATGGGTGTTTACTACGTTTCTGCAAAAGATGAGAATTTTCTCAATTTGGACCAGCAAAATAAGCCCTGGTTCGATCGCTTAATTTAGCAGTATAACATTCCCGTGTTACTTATTTTAAATGAAAGTGTGATGTCAACGTGTCTTTTTGCGAAGCGTCTTTACTTAGCCATGATAAAAATTTCCTTGGGTTAATTCCTCTACGATGATCGCATCTTCGGCATCTTCAAACCGCTATATGGCTTTCATTTTATAACTAAACCCATTTTATTACTAGCGTATAAAATCAGAACAATCGGTTCTTAATTTCCTAAATCGTTTGTTCTTAATGCCTACGCCAACAGGGGCAGAGGGGCGGGATTATCACTTCAGAGCTTCCGGTTCTTAATTTTTTAGAACTTTTCACTTTTTCTGCGCGCTGCTTACCATTTGTTTTTAAAAAACCTCAGCGGCGATTTAATTATTTTCTACGGCGAATAACACCATAATTAAATTAAGTCGTTCACAAAATAAAAAGACAAGTAATTTCTTGCCGCAACGTTACAAATTGCAACATTTGGCTTTCCTTGTATTATTGCATCAAATGGGATCGATCATCGGTGCAGTTATCTGTTCGTACTGTGATAATTAAATGTTTCAGTACAACGTAGCAATTAACATG